TTCTGCTGGCTTGTTTATAAAGATTTGCAAAGTGTAAAGCGGGTCTTACCAGTGCACAATGGGATTTTTAGCAGCTTAAGTCAGTTGTAATTACCACGTCTGACCGTAGCTTAAAGTGAGCCCATTTTCTTTATCAAGTCTCTGAACTGAAAAGTAGACACATGAGCAATGTGAACTTTGAAATCTAAGAACTAGTTTTGGTTCCCCAATTAACATGAACATGCTTTATGTAGGCCTTGATTTCTTCAGCTCAGTACTAAACTTTGCCCACTGTCACACCTAATTCCCACTCTATTTACCAATCCAATGCCAAATCTTCAGCATCCATTAAAGGTTTCATATTTCATTATTTAAAGGTGCTGGGAATGGTTTTCTAAAAATAAAATAAAAAAATTGAGTGCTGGAGTACAGGGGCAGTGTGTCTGAATTGTGGGTTTCCAAGAGCATTAAAACTATTTGGAGAACTAAAAAGGTTATTTCAGGCAGTATTTAGGTCTGGCTCCTCTTTCATTTTGCTAGTCTATATACTTAATACAGTGAACAGGCTCATTTTAAGCTATCAGTTAGTCCTTAGTATATATCCCCACTCTTGGAGGGTTTATTTGCTAACTCAGTTTAGGATTTACTTGTGACTTGGTAAGCTATAAATAAATCCCGGTTGTTGCAAATCAGAGTCTTCTGACTCTGATTTGCAAGACTTTTTTGAAGTCTTCTGATGATTTTTTTGCAGATATGAGGTAGAAAAGTTGCACATTTCATATGTAGCTTATTTTTCTATTCCACAGGTCTGCAGTGATTTGTGTACAAATAGTAACACTATTACTAGTAAAGTGCCTAGTATTGCCTTATTGTTTTAGACACCTAAATGAATTCTGCAGGGCTGCATAAACAATGTCAATGACAAGCAACATTCAAGTACAATAGTACAGGCGTGCACATACATGCACTTACATGTCAGGGCAGCATCGTGTATTAGCTATTACAGACCTTTTAACCTCTTGCCCTCCGCCCGTAGTAAAAAAACGGACGGACGGCACTGCTGCATTTAAACCCCCAAAATGTTTAACCCCCCACCCCCACCTTTACGCGCCTATAAACGTAAATACGCGTCCGGTGCCCCAGCGCGCAAAAATTACAATTGCGCTACACATGTTACATATCGCCACGAACGTCGCAGTGAGAGCAATCATTTTAGGGCCATCAATCACTGATAACACTAAACTGATGAGCGGTAACAGCTTTTAAAGCGTCGCCTATGGCCAATTTTGGGTATTATCGTTTTTTGAGGTTTCACGCGCGCACGCAATTTTAAGGATTGACATGTTTGGTGTCTTTTTACCCGACGTGATCCCGTCTTTTATATTTTACCAAAAAATTGGGTAATAATAAATGTTTTATCATTTAATATAGGGGAAACTGTTTTTTTTTTAAAAAATTCGGCAATTTTTCCTTAATATAGTAAAAAATAAAAACCCCAGTGGTGAATAAATACCACCAAAAGAAAGCTCTATCTGTCCCCAAAAAAGGGTATAAAATTCATTTCAGTACAGCGCTGCATGACGGAATAAATGTCAGTCAAAGTACCGCAGCGCTGAATACTGAAAAATGGCCTGGATGGGAAGGGGGTTTAACCTCGCGGATGTCAACTGGTTAAACATGATTGTTGTAGATACTACAGGTGCAGTAGGCAGGCATGCACAAATGTGTATGTGTCATATGTTATTACTACCCAGTAAACAGCCAAATGTAGCATATATTTCCTGCATGAAAGCTTATTGTGTCCAGTATAAGATGGCTGGGTATTAGCCAGTATTGTCTTGATAATAATATTTTGTAATCAGTTTGCATGTTTAAAAAATAACTGTAATGACGTGAATAAACAATGAATGTTAGATGAAGCATTTTCTATTAGAAAATATAGAACGTCTACTTTCAAGTGTTAAGTCCTTCAGCAGTAGGAACAAAAAAGTGGTGAAAACTTTAGTTTAATTTTAATGATTAGAGATTAGAGAACAATAAAATTCTACTTCAGCCATCAGTACTCCTTGTTGTCTTATGAATTTCAATCTGTTGGGTATATTCAGTAATCCAGTGCTAGTTAATATCATTTAGGATTTTTAATACTTTTTATTTTATTGTTAAAAAAATAGGTGTGTTCTTTTCTGGATGCTAACAGCCCAATACTTAAGTGGTAAATAATGTTATCCTAACTGTAGGGCTTTAAAAATGCAGAGTACCTGTTAAAATACCAACCAAATGCCTCCGGACATCAGACTCTTTTGCACCCACAATGTCCCAAAATAAAGCACAAGAATAAGCTTGTGTGTAACTTACTAAGGGGAGAAACGTTTCTACACTATTACTTTTTACCTTATTTCCACTGCTGCCTCCTTAAAGAAATCCACTGAACTCCTTACCTATTCACCATGATGGAGAAAAATCAAATAAAGACACACACAGGGTTAAATGTAAATGTTACTAGAAACAAAACACAACCCATTATCTCTTGTTCACCTGTTTATTCAAATAAATTAATAAAAATTACTACATATGCTTTAGGGGTCTGGGGAGTCTTCTGCCTTCCTTTAAAAGAAAAAAACTTGATAATGGTCAGAATTTTATGCTATAACTTTTAGTGTGCTCGTGACTGGATCATGGCATTCTGGAAGATGCCCATTCAGTATTTCTATTGCTACAGTTGATTGATATATTCATTCAACAAGGATTACTTTTTATGAATTAAACAGCATGGAACCTTGACTCAAAGTGGGTGATTTACTAACCTAAACACACGCACGCACTAGGTGCGTGTGATTTTTACACAGCAAAATGTATTCATCAACCAAAAAGTCTCTAAAAGCATATTTCCACTAATGCCATATATGGAAACATCATGCACATGATGCTGCTTCACAGTTTAGACAAAAATGGTTAGCTCATGCATTTACATTCCTGCATTCATCAACGCAAGCAACACAATGTAGAGCTAATTTACACAACATCACCTTGCAATTCATGCAGGGCTTTGCACAACACACCTGCTGGGTGTGTACACACTATAAAGGTGTCTAGATTCCACCAATAGATCATGCTGGGAGGGAACACACTACAGAGGTGTATACTTGTTCGTGGCATGTTTATAAGGTTAGTAAATCAACCCCATAGACTCCTATATTCCTATTGCTGCACGGAATCTCTCTACAGTATAGTACTGCAAGAGCTTTTATTACACAATTTATAAGATGCTTTCTGGCAGAAAAGAAAATTAGGTGCTGTAATGATGAAGATAGTAGGGCCTTCAACATCACATGGATTTTATTTTAACAAACTGGTGAATGTAGTAAGGAGTGTAGTGTGTTTTATTTCTAATAAATCTTATTTTTTGATGTTTTTTTTAAACATCTTTGTACTGCACTATGGTGAGCCCTGAACAATTTACAATTTCACAGGGAGAAATTGCAAAAGCGTTCCCTTATAGGTAAATTGCATATTAGCTCTCAACCAAAGTTTGTTGAGCTCTGTCATCTCCAGGCTGGTGTTTTGGTTTAGGCACATTTTTTAGTGCCATAGCTTGTGATTACAGGCATACTGACTGGTATTAGGCTGGAGAGGAACAAAACATGATTGTGGCTTTTCCATCAATAGATAATATGCCGCTTTTATGCCTGGTGTGCTGGAGCTTCTCATTTTTTAGGTTTTTACAAAAAGTTGTAAAATAATTCTGTCAATATCACATAACAAGAAATGGCCATTGATTGGTTAATGTTCAAAAATCATCAAGATTGAATTTTCCTATTTTGGTTTAAACTTCTAACTTGATGTACAATTTAGTTCTTCTCTAGTTATGGAAAAGGTTTTGCAGTGATACAATAAAAGCAGTATATTTGATTTTCCAAAATAGAATTACGAAGCTATTGATTTACCAAACAATATTATACTATCTAGAGGATTTGTAACCAAAAAGGCTGGAACCCCTCCTTCTTATTGGATCATTATAGCAAATCACTAGGAATTTTATTCCAGAATAGTTTTTTGAAATGTCTGTGGTTAGATGTGGCATGCTGCTGACTGTGTATGCTGCCATTGCTCAAGTGCTTCCCACAATTTCATCTTAAATCATGGAGGGTTTTCACTCACTTTAAGCCTTAAACCCAACTGTCAGCATTATATTCTACCTCAGTTCTTATATTCCATGATAAAAGTTTATTTACATTATTTATACAGTATTGAAAAGATGGCATGCAAAATGCAGTAATCTACATCAGCCAACTACATAGCACTTTTCTGTAGTTTGGATAGTAAAATATTGGTTCTAATTGGCTGCTATGTACAGTAAATTATGTGTGGTTGTTTTACGCTATTGCTCTTTGCTTTGTTAAATGAACCTGAAAGTCATGACTGACTTAGTGCATAGCTGGGTACTCTCTCAATTAAGATTCTAAGGGTAGGTTGATTAAATCCCTAGAATGTTTTTCATTTTGTCAATGTTTTCTATTTAATAAACTAATTCAAAATTAAATCATGAACTGTAATTCATCACAACTAATTCGAAACATAGTATCAAAACTATTTTCTGAATAGTTACATGGATAGTACACTTAACTGCTGTTTGCACAGTGTCATCACATGACGCCTTATATGTTTAAATGAAAAAATATTTTTTTGACCAGTTTTCATATTGTTGAATGAAAATGATGCATCATTACAGCAGGTTTTTTTTTCTGCATTTGAAATAACAATAGAACAATGTCATTTCTACAGTCAATGCAATGAT